TTAGCGAGCCTACCTTCGACCCTCCGGAGCCTCAAATCATTGGAAAAACACAGTGTTTCGCGACTTTCCTACCTTTTCGCGCATCTGCATCTTCTTTCTTCTGACTCTTTCTCTTCTGATCTTCTCTCTTCTAATCTTTCTCTTCTCTCTGCCTCTTCCCTGCTCTGCTTTTCATCTGTCCATATTGTCGGAAGTTTGACTTCTAAACTTCCTTCGATAAGTTATATATATAATATTTTATTACAGCAGGGGATCACCAGGGTCCCGGGGTGGGTCGGTGATCACGGTGATCAGCGAAGACACCTCGCCGGGACCCTTGTAAACGTACCTGCTGGGCTTTGGTGGTGCACTGGGCGCATTTAAGTCGCAGCTGGTGGCCACCATGTCCCATACATATATATATACATCTAATCTAACTGCATGTGATGGGATTCAGTTCCCAACGGATCACTTCAATGATCCAGTTCTTGTCTAGTGTGTGCAAAATGCCTGGGTGTGTGCACGGGTATGCGTGTTTGTGTGCATGCGCATCTCTGTTTGTATGTGTATATGTATACGTCCATGTCTATGGGTTTACGTACACTTACAGGTATATGTATAGTGTGTAAAAATGGAAGGTGTATATATATATGTATGTATGTATGTATGCATGTAAATGATATGTATGCATGTATATATATATATATGCACATTTGCATGTATATAACATGTACATATGTATATACATATACATATATGCACCCATGCAAATGTTTTGCGTGTATACATATTCATGTGCAAATATATATATATATACACACACACATTTTCACATATATATAGTTATATACAGTATAACATATTTGCATGATTACGTGTCTGTGTATATTTGCATACATATACGTGTATTCGTATATGATGGATGCGTGAATACATGCACATAGTGAGTAAACAGACGTAGACATAGAGATAGACACATGCCATGCTTGCACAAGAGCACCCGGGTGAACAGCTTCTCCTGGCAAATGTGGCCTTTAGTTTTGACGCAACTGCTGCTGTACCCATCGTTCACTCTAAAGAGCCTCCAGTCAAAGTCCTCAGAGGAAACGCCTGGGGTTCTACCAACCTCAGGAATTCAGCGAAAGCCACAATAAGCTTCAGGCTTCAGCAGTTAGAACACCTATTTGCCTGTCTATCTACCGATCGATCGACCTATCCATCCATCCATCTTCCTATCCATCAATACATCCATCCATTTATCCAACTATCGGTCCATCTATGTATCTACCTTTCTTTCTGTTAGTCTACCTATTGATCAATCTACATACGTGCAATACCATACCACACCAGACCAGATCAGAACATACCATACCATATGCACATACACACACACATACACATACACATACACATGCACATACATAATATACATATACATATACTTTACATTCACATTTACATTTACATATACATACCATACCATAGACAATACACAATACATACATACCATACACAATACAGGCGCAATGCATACAACACATACATACAATACATACAATACATACAATACATACAATACATACAATACATACAATACATACAATACATACAATACATACAATACATACAATACATACAATACAATACAATACAATACAATACAATACAATACAATACCACACAAAACCATACAATACCACACAATACCATACAATACAATACCATACAACACAACACAATACAATACATACAATCCAACTCAATACAATACAATACAATACAATACAATATACAAATACAATATACAAATACAACACAACACAATACAATACATACAATCCAATCCAACCCAATACAAATACAGTAC